AAATCGAATGGTCTAATTGTCCTGCAGCGAGTTGTCCCATTCCATTTGCAGTTCACATGGTCGTGATTTGCAATGTTTCCCCCCATTTCCCGGTGCTTAAGTCTGGTTTTCAGTAACAAAACACCAGTTGGGAGAATCGGATTCGCTTAATGGCCGTCGCATTTGCTTAATGACTGCGGAGCTTAAACAACCGCTGTCAAAAAAAATAATTTTTAACTTTGAATCTGGTCACAAGGATGCCTTGATTTCCAACTGCAACAATGTACAACTCTTCATTCCAAGCTCAATTACCGTCATAAAGACGAGGACTATCTCTAACGACAAGGGAAGAATTGGTTTAAATCTGCCCCCCAGTTCCTGTTATGGTAACTGTAAAACCACTTCTAGACTTTTGTTCTTTGTTGATAGGAATAGTGAAGGAGTGCCATCAAACTGTCTGCCTCGAGCACCTTGCCAAGGTAGAAAAACTGGATCATAAAATTGATTTTATGGCACTTTAAAGAAAAACGAAAAGACTGTATTTTTTTTTTTTTTTACAGATGACTGTAATTGCATCAGACCAGAGGAGACGCCAGCTGCTCAATTCAAAGAAAAAATTCTTCCTTCCTTGAAATAATATAATACAATTTAAGGATGTTTCATTGCAACATTAATTTCTTGTTAAGAGCCTAAATCTCTTGCAAAGTGCTAGTTCTTAAAAACTGTCCCTGATGTTTCTGAATGTTTGCTCCCTTTTGCACTTTGGGAATAGAATTTTTTTCAAAAAAATGCAGCATAAATGCAACACACGCCACCGTTCCTTGCAATTAAACAATTTCCAAGGCAAAAAGCGTTGTGGATTTTATGTTACATTTGATACATGCATTCCGTCTTACAGTTATTGGCTTAGTGCCAGTAACTGTGAGAAGGATCTTGGAGCCCTAGTGAACAACCACTTAAATAGGAGACAGCAGTGTGCGGCGGCAGCCAAAAAAGCCAATGCAATCCTAGGTTACATCAATAGAAGGATAGAATCATTGCCCGTGAAGTGTTAGTACTGCTTAGAATGTCTTATTAAGAGCACACTTGCAATGCTGCATTCAATTCTGGTCACCACAATATAAAAAGAATAGAAATAGACCTAGAATAGTAAAATAGAATAGAATAGAACAGAACAGAAACAGAACAGAATTGAAGAATAGAATAAGAATTACAATAGAATAAGAATGCAATAGAATAAGAAATAGAATAGAATGGTAAAATAGAATAGAATTTACAATAGAATAGAATAGAATAAGAACTAGAATAGAATAGTAAAATAGAAAAGAATAAGAGTAGAATAGAACAGAACAGAAACAGAACAGAATCGAAGAATAGAATAAGAATTAGAATAGAACAAGAATTAGAATAGAATAGTAAAATAGAATAAGAATAGAATAGAACAGAAACAGAACAGAAGAATAGAATAGAATAGAAAATATGGAATGGAATGGAACGGAACAGAATAGAACAACGAAGTTGGAAGGGACCTTGGAGGTCTTCTAGTCCAACCCCCTGCTCAGGCAGGACACCCTATACTATTTCAGACAAATGGCTGTTCTATCTCTTCTTAAAAACCTCCAGTGTTGGAGCCTCCACAACTTCTGGAGGCAAGTTGTTCCACTGATTAATTGTTCTAATCTCTAAAAAAGATGTTGAGACTCTGGAAAGAGTGCAGAGAAGAGCAACAAAGATGATTAGGGGGCTGGAGGCTAAAACATACAATTGCAGGAATTGGGTATGTCTACTCTAATGAAAAGAAGGACTAGGGAGACATGGTAGCAGTTTTCCGATATTTGAAGGGCTCCTACGAAGACAAGGGGAAGAGGGGATCGAACTCTTTTCCAAAGCCCCAAAAGGCGAGACGAGAAACAATGGATGGAAACTAACCAAGAGACAAACAACCTAGAACTAAGGAGAAGTTTTCTAACAGTGAGAGCAATCCACCAATGGAATGGCTTGACTTCACAGGTTGTGGGTGCTCCAAACCTTGGTAATACCCAAGGAGCTTCTACAAAGAAGAGACAGTCAAAGCACCTGATGACAGAATAAGAAGCAACAGGGGGAAGATGATCCAAGAAAGATCCAACCTAGAACTAAGGAGGAGAGAGAGAGAGAGAGAGAGATTTGATCTAACCTCTCTCTCTCCCTCCCTCTCTGTCATAAACACACACACACACAAACACACAGACGCAGGGGTGGGATTCAAAATTCTTAACAACTGGTTCTGTGGGTGTGGCCTAATTAGTGGGTGTGGCTTGGTGGACATGTGACTGGCTGGGCATGGCTTGTATGTAAATATTATAAATATTTATGTAAATATGGATTTTTTTATAAAAAAAGAGCAACTTTTACTCCAAATCAGGCAAAGCAGGCAGGCATATTGAGTTGCTCACAGAATCACAGATTCATTCAGAGATCTATCTTTCTGCCATCGGCTACCTGAGTCTGTTGCATAAAATTTGCTTGCAAGCAAACTCAAAAAATTTGCTAGCAAGCAAATTCACAAAATTAACTCACAACACACCATGCATGTAAATATCGAATTTTTTATTAAAAAAAAAAGAAAGCAATTTTTACCCCAAAGCAGGCAGGCAGACTGAGTTGCTCACAGAATCACAGATTCACCCAGAGGTCTGTGTTTCTGCCATCGGCTAGCTCAGTCTGCAACTGAATAACAGAACCTTCAGTCCTAAGGGAGGTTCGGCTCTGCTTTTAAGCAGAGCCGAAGATCTAAAGATTAGCTAGAAAGCAAGTAATTGAACGATTCTGTTCCATGCATTGATTATTCTCACTGTCAGGAAATTTCTCCTTATTTCTAAGTTGAATCTCTCTTAGATCAGTTTCCATCCATTATTCCCTGCCTGGCCTTCAGGTGCTTTGGAAAATAGCTTGACCCCTTCCTCCTCTCTGGGGCAGCCCCTCAAATATTGGAAGACTTCTATCCTGTCTGCCCTGGTCTTTCTCTTCCCTAGACTAGCCAGGCCTAGTGTCTGCAACCGTTCATCGTATCTTTTAGCCTCCAGTCCCCTAAATCATCTTTGTTGCTCTTCTCTGCACTCTTTCTAGAGTCTCAACCTCTTTTTTATAGTGTGGTGACCAAAACTGCATGCAGTACTCTAGGTGTGGTCTTACTAAGGCTTTATAGAGTGGTATTAGCACCTCCCTTGCTCTTGATTGTATCCCTCTGTGAAGCTTCTTGGATGAGAAGTGAAACGTCTT